ACCAGCTTGGGTTTAAATCAGTTGCAAACTAAAAGTCAGCAGAATGTATTTTTAATCCATTCAGACAGAGGTGAAGCCCTCTCTCTCTCTTCCAACACATACACTGTATTCCTTGGGCAGAGTTCTGTAATGAACGTGTTGTTCATTTTAACATCAATGAGCCCAGTTCAGCAGAAAGACTCTGGGCAGCCTGACTGCGATAAAGGGGCCGTTACCAGCATCTCGGATAACAAGGTGTAGAGCTGGATGAACACAGCAGGCCAAGCAGCATCAGGGGAGCAGGAAGGAGAAGGGTCTAGACCCAAAACGTCAGCTTTCCTGCTCCTCTGGTGCTACTTGGCCTGCTGTGTTCATCCAGCTCTGCACCTTGTTATCTCAGATTCTCCAGCATCTGCAGTTCCTACTATCTCTCACCAGCATTTCGCTTGTATCCATTATTGACACTCGGGCGCTGGACCTACATGCACAGTTACACGCACGTAAATATGTTCTCCTGCACGTCTTCTGACACTAGCAAACCGGCCAATTCCAGCCTGAATGAGGCTCAACTTGCAGCTTCCTGATATACTCATTACTTGATCCTCACTACATTTTTTTTAAAAAAGTCCCTCTCAAAAAAAAGCAAGCATACTGGTCAGTAGGAACATTACATACAAGGATGAAAAAGACAAATTAAAAAGCTTTTGTCACTCATGTTTAATGCATTTGCCATAATTTTTCAACAACTTGCCTTTGTACAATATCATGACTTCGAAATCCCAGGCACAGAGGAACACTGAACAAGGGACTGAGGCAAACAACTTGCTTAAAGATATAGGTTTTGAGGAGAATCTGAAAGATCACCGATAAACGATAAGGCATTGAAGGTTTTTAATCTTGCCTTCAAAAGGATTGGGAGGTAAGAAACAGATTTGACCAAAAGGACACGGTTTAATGCAAGCATAAGAAAAGGGTGCTGATTGGTCATTGCCTTGGAAACAATCAAGAACAGTTAACTGCCAATCTTATTCTCAGGCCAGTCAGGTAGAATCTGACTGGTTGGGTGTTGCAACTGGGGATGCTTCACTTGTTTCCATGAGAGATAGTAAGAACTGCCGATGCTGGAGTATGAGATAACAACGTGTGGAGCTGAATGAACACAGCAGGCCAGGCAGCATCAGAGGAGCAGGAAAGCAGACATTTCAGGTCAGGTCCCTTCTTCAGAAATGGGGAGGGGAGCTCAGAAATAAATAGAGGAGGGGTGGGGCTGGGAAAGGTAGGTGGGATGGTGATAGGTGAGTGCAGGAAGGGAGTGGTGGGGATTGGTCAGTGAGTAAGATGGGAGGAGTGGGTAGGTGGGAGAGAAGATGGACAGGTTGTGTCAGGTCAAGGAGGTGGGATGAGAGGGAGGGTTGGACATGAGATGAGGCTGGGGTTGGGGAGATTTTAAAACAGGTGAATTCCATGTTTAGGCCATCAGGCTGTAGGCTCCCAAGGCAGAATATGAGGTGTTGTTCCTCCAGTTTGTGGGTGGTGTCATTGTGACACTGGAGGAGGCCCAGGATGGACATGTCACCCAGGGAGTGGGAGGTGGAGTTGAAGTGGTTTGCGAATGGAAGGTGTTGTCGTTTCTCACGAACAGAGCATAGGTGCTCTACAAAGCGGTCTGCGAGCCTCCGCTTGGTCTCACCAATGTAGAGGAGACCGCATCGGGAGCAGCGGATGCAGTAGATCACGATGACGAATGTGCAGGTGAACGCCTGTCTGATGTGAAAGGTTTTGGGCCTTAAATGGAGGTGAGGGGGAAGGTGTAGGGGCAGGTGTAGCACTTCCTGCGGTTGCAGGGAAAGGTCCCGGGGTGGTGGAGCTAATGGGGAGTGTGGAGCGGATGAGGGAGTCGCAGAGAGAGCGGTCCCTACAAAACGCAGATAGGGGTTGGGAGGGAAATATATCTTTAGTTGTGGGGTCAGACTGTAGGTGTCCAACCCTCCCTCTCATCGCCGCCTCCTTGACATGTCCATCTTCTCTCCCACCTATCTGCCCCTCCCACCTCACTCACTGACCAATCCCCACCACTCCCTACCTGCACTCACCTATCACCTTCCCAACTACCTTCCCCAGCCCCATCCCTCCTCTCTGTCTTTATTTCTGAGCTCCCTTGCCCCTCCCCCATTTCTGAAGAAGGGTCCCGACCGGAAACGTCGACTTTCCTGTTCCTCTGATGCTGCCTGGCCTGCTGTGTTCATCCAGCTCCACACTTGTTTCTATGAGTCCAGTTTTGAAGAAGGTGCAAGGTATGGCCAAATTCCTTTTGCTTACATCAAACAAGGTCCTGTACATATAACTTCTGACACTTGTAAATGCATAACACTGATGATTTTAAATTGGTTTCCAGTGTAACTATTAGCATAGTCAAGATTATTCAATAAATTAATTCCAGTAGCAACATCACTTCTAATGGTGGACATGCTTTTCTGTGTGTTGCAAGAACAGGCTGATTAAGCACATTTGGCATGCTGTCCACTGTGAATGGTCAATGAGCTGTGTTGTTTAATTTGACCCACCAGTTATTGGATACAAAGCCCACATACCTAGCACCGCACCAACATTGAAACTCATATCATGTGTGGTAAGCTTAACAACCTTTTGGCTTCACAGCAGCATTGTGTTAGTGGGTACATGTGTATCCTGACATCAATAGTGACATGTTATCAAGATTTTACAGAGGGAGGAATGGAAAAGTGGTACTGGAGAGCTGTTTCCAGTATTCTGCATGTTAGAATGTTAAGAGTTTTTAGGAACTTATGAGATAAGGTAAAGCTCAGAGATGGAGCAAACTCTGAGTAGGGACAATCTAGTGAAGTGTTTCCAAGAATGATTGCAGGAATGAAGAATTTCGGTGATGAAGATAGATTGAAGAAGTTAGAACTCTTCTCCTTGGAGAGAAGAAGGCTGAGAGGTGATCTGATAGAGGTTTTCGAAACCATGAGCAGGCTGACAGAATAGGTAGGGAGAAGCTGTTCCCAACAGTAAGAGGAACAAGTATGAGAGGGCATGGATTTAAAATGATGTGCAAAGGTGATGTGAGAAAGAACGTTTTCACTCAGTGAGTAGTTTCGGTCTGGAATGCACTGCCTGGAAGTTTGGTGGAGGCAGGTTCAATTGAGGCAGCGCAGAGAGAATTGGATGAGTATTTAGATAGAAATACCGTGCAAGGGGATGAAAGAGCAGAAGATTAGCATAATGTAATAATGATCGTTTGAAGAGGTGGTACAGGTACGATGGGCTGAATGGCATCCTGCTGCTCCACAATTCTGAGGAGTAGCCTCTAGAGTGCATTACAGACACCCGATGCCCTGAACCTCATCGTAGGTAGAATCCATGAGGGTAGAATAATGCAGGCTTGAGTCCATGGGATCAGTACAGCCCATGGAGACAGTAGCCAGAGCACAAATCCTGGTGGCAGTGATGTTTGCACCAACACAACCCTGTCAGAATTCTGTGCTCTTCCCAATTCTTGCCTCTTTCATATCTTTGATATCTTTTGCATGTATTCAGCCATCCATGCCGTGAATTCTCACCTCCTCTTAACTGGAGATGGCTCAGAAAAGATTTACAAGGATGTCACCCCAACTGGAAGGTTATAAGGAGAGGCTGGGACTTTTTTCCTTGAAGCATAGAGGCTGAGGGGTGACCTTGTAAAAGTTCATAAAATTGTGAGGGCCACAGATAAGGTGAATAGCCAAGGTCTTTTCCTGAGCGTAGGGGAATCCAAAGCAAAAGGGCATAGTTTTTAGGTGAGAGAGGAAAGATTTAAAGGGGACCTGAGGAGCAACTTTTCCACACAGAGGGTGGTGCATGGATCTAACTTATATGCAACAGTAAATGGTAGAGGTGAGTACAATTACAACATTTAAAAGACATTTCGACAGGTATACGGATAGGAAAGGTTTAGAGGGATATGGGCCAAACGCAGGCACATAGGTTTAGAAAACCAATTTATTTACCAACATACCATACATAGAAGCCAATGATGTTTGGACTATATCACTATCTCCTGGCAATTGAGATATTCACCAATGTCATGAAATTAACAGCTCACATTAACGAGTTCAGTTTCAAAGATACTGTGTACTTTCAAATAGATGGCATCACCATAGGACACTGTCTAGATCCAACCCGAGTTTGCATCTTTGTTGGGTACCATGACAAACACACCTTTGCTGGAAAGAGCACTAACCTCTTACTCCCTTGCACATTGACAGATTTGCAATACGCAAATCTGTAACTGAATCAAAGAATTTCTTTACACGGCATAATAGTATCCAACTTGCGCTCAAATTTACCATTGAACTGGAGCAATCAAATGAGCTCCCTTTCCT